CTGATCCTAACAAGTATTTTCTGTGTAGCTAAAGCTTGATACGGCGTATTGCTCTGTACCCCAGACCTCCGTTGTTGTACAAAAACAGTTAAAGACACAATGATGAGCACACTGTCACACTGCGTGACATTTTGAGTCCATCCCCAACACACCTTCCTGCTGTAAGTACTCAGTAGAGCTCCAAATGTGTGTCAATTCACAGCTGAAATGAATCCCCATCAAGTAGGAGCATTCGCTAAATTTACAGAGCATGGCTGTTAAGGGAAAAAATACAATACATAGCCTTTTCTTTTTTTACATTTGAAACTATACGTGTGACCTGTTTTTAAAGATGTAGGCCTTCAGTAGGAACAAATGGGCTTGGGGCTGAGTGCCACAGACAGGCTAGCGGAGTCAGAAGGTAATGAGAGACAGAATAACACATTGTTGGTTTGGGTCTTTTCATAGGATTTGCTGACAGTAAGAAAAAATATAAATACAACGCCAGACTTACCTTTTCACAGTAATAAATAAAAGGAAAAAATTAGTACCTCAAAAATATCATATTTAGTCCTTCGAGAAGCCTACTAATTTTGCACTTTGGGAGTCCTTGAATTTTATTGTGAAAAACGAATGTTTAACAGCATTGATGCAAAATGTGGAAATGCCTCTAAATCCTGAGCAGCGTATGACTCAGCGTGTGAGTGGCAGATAAAAACAGCTGAAGACACTTTAGTTCACTTCTCTTGGTTGCATGTTTACAGCTATATCTGGAGGCACCTTGACATCGGTTACGTACAGGGCATGTGTGATCTGCTGGCTCCACTTCTAGTCATTCTGGATGATGGTGAGTCAACACCGAATCACTCCTCTTTTCTGACATTTGGTGTATTTTTATAGTTATTGATGGAACAACAGAGGACAGTTTGCCCACTCACTTGCTCACCCCAGCTTCCTCGCTCTGTTTCCTTTTTTTTCAGAGGCCATGGCCTTCAGCTGTTTCACTGAGCTCATGAAGAGAATGAATCAAAACTTTCCACACGGAGGCGCTATGGATACTCACTTCGCCAACATGCGCTCTCTAATCCAGGTAACGCAGCACTAGTAAAGCCTTTACAGATACTGTAGCAGTCAGGCATCACTAAATCCATTCATTACCAACAAACCTTTTCCTCCAACACCAGTCTCTTTTTGTGTTGTGCTGAATCTCCTCTGATCTCCTCTCTCTCTGTAGATCCTGGATTCTGAGCAGTTTGAGCTAATGCACCAGAACGGAGACTACACCCACTTCTACTTCTGCTACCGCTGGTTTCTCCTCGACTTCAAGCGAGGTAAAGTGACGGCTTGGTGCAAAAGAGTTTTGCCAAACAGAGGAGTAGCTGATTCACTCCTCTTTAAGCCCCGTTGGTGGATAAAACGCAAACCACTTGGCAGCTCGGTAACAAGACATTTAGTTATTATCAAGACTTGGAAAGGATTTTCAAGACAGCTGCATAGATAGTTTTTTTAGTTATTCAGACTCAAATGGCTTGTTTTGTCACCTGGGTATCTCAGTATAACCTCCCTGCGAAGACTTGCTTCCAATCTTATCTCTCTCTGCCGATAACTCCCCTTCCTGCAAACTCTGACTCCCATCCGAGCCCTCAAACACCGATTCAGACTCGACTCCCGTTTCTTTATGTGATTTGTGTTCCAGAGCTGGTGTACGATGACGTGTTTGCAGTGTGGGAAACGATCTGGGCAGCCAAGTGTGTCTCTTCTAGTCACTTTGTCCTCTTCATTGCCCTGGCGCTGGTGGAGATCTACAGGGACATAATCCTGGAGAACAACATGGACTTTACTGACATCATTAAGTTCTTCAATGGTAAAATATGTCACTTTACAGCTGACGTTGTTCATGTAAATATCTCCTCATCCCTGTTAAAGGTGCCCTCGACTGATATTAGACATTACAGATCAGTATTACTGATCACAAGTAATTTTGTTCGGCCTGCCAAAACAGTTGTGCAATGTCTTCTGTGAATGTGAGCATTTTCTATGTATGGAATGCAGCAAAGACAAGCTATCAAGTTGCATTATGGGAATTGTAGAAACCAGCATTGGAAGAGCTTGACTTAAACTAGCAACTAAAAGTCAGAATACTGTCTGTTGTCTTCTGCTGCACCAATTCTTTCCCCCATTCTTTTAAAAATCTGTCTTTTGCAAGTCGTCCAGCATTAAAAGCATGATAATGGCACTAAGATGCCCTTGAGCACAAGACCAGACCTATTTAAATACAAATTTGTAACATGAAAGGAAACAGTCATAGGTCTGGATCCAGGCTACAACTAATTTATGGAAGAGCTATACTAAATATCTAGTTATTGAATGTCAAATAGCAACCTACGATGAAATGATTTACAAGCTGCTAGCTGTTACACGTCTGTTCAGATGTTCTCCAGACATTTTAGGAAATAATATCGGCCATTTGTGTTTTTTTGTCTTTCAGAAATGGCTGAGCACCACAACATAAAGAAGATTTTGACCATGGCCAGAGATCTGGTGTGCAAGGTGCAAATTCTTATAGAGAACAAGTGATTGTGCTCTTTGTCTCCTTCTTCCTTCCAAGTAAAGTGTGACCGGCTGTAGCAGCACAAGATTCAAATACATCTGAGCACACATGCTCTCTCTCTCTCACACACACACACACACACAGACACACACACACACACATACTATACAATGCCTTTTCAACCACCGTTTGTTGCTATGAGCCTTATTCACTGTATCTACAATGTTGTTTGTGTTGTCAACAGAGGTATGAGAATAGTATGCTTCATATTTGTCAGTATGTTAAAGTGAAAAAAAAATGTATCTGAAAAAGCTTTTCTTTATTTTCTAAATACATCTGCCAGAAGTTCCTTATGTGTCGATCTTAATCCGAGTGCACTTAACATTTTGATATAATAATGGTCTTAGTTGCACATTTCAATCCAAATTATATGCCAGAATTTCACCAGAGACTATATTTATGCAAAGAATACATTGTGATGATAGTTTATAATAATTATTTCAATGGTCAAGTCTACAAGATCATACTTTGAATATATCAGAAAGTTATCCCCTTATTCCCATCGCTTAATGAAGGACAGAATGTCAGCAGACTTTTCATTTTGCTTAAGTGCAACACCCAAAAATTAAATGACTTTCTACTGATGACAGAACTCTGGCTTGTACTTCAAAATGTAACTTAAACTACATTTCTGTTTCACAAACTACATTAAGAATAATTTAGGGTTTAGCACCATGTCAGTGATTTAGCATCCAACAGTGTTTAAAATGTTTTAATTGAACTGCCTCGTCTGCCAAATATTGTCTTTATTTGTTATGTGTGAATTGTACTGTACTGAGAGATAGATGTGTTTAACTTATGAGGTTTATAATATGTAAAATCCTAACCTAATATTTAAGTGACCTACGGATGTCTGTGCGGAGATTTAAGCCTGATTTGATAGTCTCTTAAAATATGTTTCCTTATCCAGTGAACCTCTAGATATTTTGTAAATTGTGCAGTTTACTCACCTTGTCTTGTATTGTCTGGCGCCTTTTTGTTGAATTAAATGTTAATTTCAGCTTGAATGTGACTATGAATTTGGAAGATCAGATGAGACGCTGAAAACCAAATGAAACGTTTTTTGGCGCCACGTTGATGAGATTCTTTAGTGTGAGAGTGACTTAGACAGAGAGATGAGAATGAAAGGTACAGATGACGTTATGAAGGAAACTGTATTGATGTTTTAGCAGATTTGGGGCTCGTGACGATATTTATTATATATGCTTTCAACCCCTAAATTGATACTAATGTCGGCCCTGAGTTACCCACATCCGTGCTCGTCGTTCATAGCCTAAAACGTCACTCAGTTGGTCTTCAAGTATTGTTTAGTGAATGTGGTGAGATGAATTGCTTTTAATATTGTTGTTTCTGTGGATGCTTACTGCTGTCAGAAAACACATTTTTTAAGTATATTGTAACATTTATTTAGCAAGTATTTTTTTAATTTTTTCATTCATTTTCTCATTCAGATGCTGCTTTGTTTGTGAAGCTGATCTTTTTATTTTGTGGCCAGTTCTAAATGTGTATTGTAAAACAGTCAAATTATATACTAAGAGTTCATATATAGTATATATTAAATGGTATATGTTTTTATAATAAAACAATAAAAATGGAATCATCATTATTTTTCCAAACATTGCGTATTGTGTATTTTACTCAATTTAATCAAACTGAGGTGAGAGAATCACAAATGTGTGAGGTAAGGAGAGGGTTGTTGAACATCAGGAGGTGACCAGAGATGGAAATGTCGTTTGTTTTGTCTCCCCGTTTGGTCAAGGTGTAAATATCTAAACGGCTACATTCATGGTCCCCGCAAGATGAACTGGAATAACTCTGCTGATGTATTTTTTCATATCATCTATGGAGGACGAAAAATTTGTCAAGTATACAGAAATAAATATAATACAGAAGTAATGAATAAATGCTGAAATAAATACGGAAATAAATAACAAAAAGTATATTTGCATTAGATTGAGGTTACAACCTCTAACCCCTTTAGTGTAAAATAATGAAATGTATGTGAATGAAAACGTAGATATAGATTTAAGGACCAGTATGATTTACTTCACCTTGTTGACAAAGTTATTTCTGCACTCTTGCAGTATTTTCACAGACCTATCAAAAGCCTGTGATACAGTTAACCATAATATTGTATTAGAAAAGTTGCATAAATATGGTTTTCATCATAGTACATACAAATGGTTAAAAATCTTTATGAATATAAAAAAATAATTAATATATAATCTTATTGTTTTCAGTGGCAAAAAATCATACCCTCAGGATTTATCTAAAATTAATCAAAATAAAATGTAGTCTGTTGAGATGCCTCAAGTGTCCGCTACAAAATTCCTTGGAATTATTCTTATTCTTATTTAACTTCAGTTTGTTACTGTTTATGACATCAATATTTATCAAATATGTGTTTTTATTTATTAGATACTTTCAGGTGAAGGGAATTCCTGAACATTTCAAGACCTACTTTAATTAAAGCCAATTCACAGGTTCATTCAACTGGTACGAGTCTTCATCCTCTTACATTACTTACTAGCAGAGGTCAATTATCAATCAATTATGGAGCAGCTTTTCCCACTTGACAAAAAAATGTTCATCTATGAAATGTTTTAAAAGATGCTTAAAAGGCAATTTAATTAATTTTTTTTTTAAATTGCTTTCCTTGTGTATTATTGTCCATGTGTTCCTTGTTTCAGGTCTAGCTTGTTTCAGGTACAATTGTTTCACTCAAAGGGACTTGTAGCATTACTATTGTTTTAGGAGTTAATGCAGGTGTATAAACCAATATCCTCTCAACAAACACAAGACAACACTTACTGTCGCACGCATAGACATGCACATTTAAACAGACAGGATTGTGCGTGGACAAATCACAACTTAAATTTCTATCATTTTATGCAAAATTGACAGCCAATCACAATGGCCCTTTTCCACAATTCTCCATGTCTTTACAACCATCACTGTTGAACTTCTCCATTTTTGACAGAGCGGCCAATGACAGGTTGAGTTCACATCACCTGGAGCAGAGGTAGGTCCGCTGTCCTTGGAGTTGGAATTTAACTCTCCGAGATAACACGGTCAAATGCCGGCAAACTAATTTTATTTGGACAGTGGTTAGCTAGCTAAAACCTTTTTATTTCAGAGAAGAAACGAATATAAACAAAAGGTCGTTCCTTTTGTTATAGTTTGTTGTACTCTGCAGTAGCTCAGTGAAACCTAACTCTACTGATATCTCATTACTGACCAAAAGTGTTGCATTGCTAACATGATCATCATTGTAGAACGCTGTGGTCAGCATTTGACACACAGTTCCCAAGACTGGTCTACTTTGTGATCCCAGAGTCAGAACTAAACATGGAGAAGCAGCGTTCAGTTCTTCTGCTCCACATATCTGGAACAAAGTCCCAGAAAGCTGCAGGTCTGCTGAGACCCTCAGCTCTTTTAAATCAAGAGGAGCTGAAAAGTAAAACAAAATCTTCCGCCCGAATAGGGACTTGAACCCTAGACCCTCAGATTAAAAGTCTGATGCTCTACCGACTGAGCTATCCGGGCTTCAGAAGTTCATGACGCTGGGAATTAATTTGAAAGTCAATACCAATATTATGGGAAAAAAACAAAAGAGGGGCTCACTGCCTGCTGAACCTGGTAAAACATAAAACAACCAATATTAATACGAGATGCCACAGAAGATGACTCGAGCGTCTGTTTACGTTTTGTCAAGTCGCTGAAAAAGCTAATCAAAAGTACCTAGATTGATAACAATCTCCTTTTAACTGATTTAATGACATGCAGCTGGATATTTCCTAGCTCACTCCTCTTTTTCCAAGACTGTGGTGACGTGAGCCGCTGAGTTTGGCAGCTGGGATCACATATTTGATCACTCCCTCTTATGTATGCTTGCTTTTGTAAAATAGATACTTCATTTAGATTTTCATTTCAGTTGTTGAGCCAGCCATCATGTTATGAAAACAGATTACAGCTGGAATGCAAAACTGACTAATGGAAGCAATGCAGAAAACATGCTCTGCATAAAATACGAGTATAGGAAGCATGCTCATATACTAACAATGTATCTATAATGCAATATATTTGATAAACTGAGCTTTTTTTTGGATCCTCGATCTTCAAAGTAACAGGTAACTGAAGTTATTAATTACATGCAGTGGAGTAAAAAGCACTATCTCCCTCTGAATTGTAATCGAGTAGAAGTATAAAGTAGAATAAAACAGAAATACTCAAGTAAAATACAAGTACCTCAAAATGATACTTCAGTACAGTAACTTCCCTAGTTACTTTCCATCACTGCCTGGGACAAAGACGATGGTTAAAGTAAGTAATGTTGAGTAATGAAATGAACGGAGTTACTAACAGGTGTCCAGTAAGGTTGTTACGTTATTGTAAAGGTTACGACTCACAGACGAGAGTACTATTTCATTTGATTTTAGGTCTTGTCATGCTGTACGTAACATTGCTTTATTGTAAATGAATGAATACATAAAAATAAAATAACAGTGTAATGGCGGACGAAAAGAATCAGGCGGCCGTTCTCGTCCTTCATCGTGCGTGTTCGTGAGCTCGAAGACGCCGATTGGTCAATTCGTGGTTGATTCTTGGTTGCGATACGAGCGCCGATTGGCCACAGCGGACACTTCCTGGTTGATTTATGGTTACAGACTGAACGGTGATTGGCTTTCACAAGAATTAGTTCGACTCACGGGCTACAAGGAGAGCCATCCGGGCTTCGTAAACACATGACGTTGGGGATCAATTTGTAGGTGATTACCAATCGTTTACAATATGTCAAATATTATTTATTATGTGATAAATGAACATTTAAAAAAACAAAAGAGGGGTTTACTGTGACAGTCATAAAGCTAAATTGTAATAGTTTGTAATATTTTATGAAAATATATTCCCCCTTCAGACACCGCTGTGGTTTTGTTTTGTTTTGTTTTGCTGTTTTAGTTACTTATGCTTTCAGGACAGTTTCAGCACATACATATAGCTACACGCACACACACACACGCACGCACACGCACACACATACACATGCATCACTTATGTTCATACACATGCATCACTTATGTTGCCCCTCTGACTACTGACTTTCAACATACATGTGTTATAACAATTAATACTTAATAAACAGGTGAAAACAATGCAAAACTCTAAGGGTCGGTGAACAGACGTCAGTTTAGAAACAGTGAGCTAACTACAATACAGAAAACTACAGGAAAATGAATATTAACCCCGATTGTTATTGTCATTTCTTCTCTGCTGTAAATGTGTCTTGGCTAGCTACCGCTACCTACCTAGCTCAGCTAAACATCTCAATAAAAGAATTCCCAATCCATAGCCAACTTCAACAATGAAGTCTGCGCCCTCAGGTGAAGGAGTGGGAGCAAGTGTCAACCTGTCATTGGCAGCTTTGTCAATATACTGATACTCAAAGTTGACAGGTTGCGAAAAGATGGAGAATTTTGGTGACGTCTGGGAAGTTTGGCGAAACGTGGAAATGAGAAGATGAGATTCCATGAGTTTAAGCACTATTCGTTACACTTATTGCAGATTTTGAAAAACTACTTCCGCCCGAACAGGGACTTGAACCCTGGACCCTCAGATTAAAAGTCTGATGCTCTACCGACTGAGCTATCCGGGCGCTCTGAATGTATGAAGTACAATGTCGATAATGAATCCACTACTATGACTATTACTGTTGAGCTGTCAGTGGAAACGGAAGGAAGTGGAAGTTAGGCTGGCTAAGGCTAGTCGTTAGCTATATTTATGCTACTCTAGCCCTCTACACAGTCTGTGGTTTAGACCCCAGCATTGATCCTCCTGGTGAGTTATTAAATACTAAAAAATGTGACACACTTTTTTATAAAATGCGGGCGCAGCTGGTTACCTAACTGTCCTCAAAATGTCATTGTTTAGTCTCGCTGCTAAATGCACATGTCGTGGCTTGTCAATGAAAATCCCTCGGCCTTCATTTAACCTGTTAACAAACGATAGACACTCAATTACAAACGTGGAGATCCAGAGCCACGTCACACATGTAACGCGTCTGTTGAGGAATCATCACTCCAAGGTAAATTAAAGGTCAATGATTATTATATGAATCGCAGTCGGTTTATTCTGCAGCCAAAGAAGAACATTGATTGTCAGTCTTGTTACCTGTGTCTCCTCTATTAGGTACCAGAGGTGGCTACATGGGAACTAATACCAGAGGACCAGCTTCCCCCGGTAATATCCTCATGACTGGCTGAATGTGAACACAATACAGTACTTGGGTTGAGTAAGGCTTGGTGACCTAATAACGCTTTGAAATTCATGTCAGAATTTAAAATAATGGTTGAAATATTGGGTCACACTGGCAAATATAAAATCCTTTCCTAATGCGGCAGAGGATTAGTAAAACAGGAAGGGACTATAAAGGCTGTAACTTCGTTTTTTTATATATTTTTTTTCTCTGTTAGAGATTACCAAAGACAAAAGGTCAAATTATGGGCACAGTGTTTGCTGTTTAGATGTTATTAATGGATGTAATAACTTTATTCAATGGTTACTTACAGTTAAAGACATTGTTAAGCAACAGTGAAAAGAAACTGTCCCACATACAATTCTGAGCAACACGTTTTGATTTCAGCCTGCCCATATCCCTGCTGACCTGGTGGACAAACTGGAGCGACTGGCCTTGGTTGATTTCCGCACCAAACAGGGACTGGCCTGTTTGGAGAAAGCCATACGATTTGCAGATCAGCTTCATGTTCTTGACACGTCAGGGGTTGAACCGATGGATTCAGTTCTGGAGGACAGGTACGTACAGGCAGTTAATGTAAAACACTGTATTTTGCATGTGGGCCTTTTAATCACAGCTAGAACCAAATAGCATGTAACAAATCAGCAACAACTAGCTCAATTTAAACTCTTGTGAAGCCTGTTGTATTAATGTGATTATGTTTATGTCCATGCACATTCAGGCCATTACAACTGAGGGACGATGTCGTGATGGAAGGAGACTGCGCTGAAGAACTGCTTCATCTCTCCAAAAACACAGTTGAAGAATATTTTGTGGCACCACCAGGTGAGGAAACAACCTGAATACATTTATTTTGAAACATTGCTGATTACACGATTATTGAGATGATAAATAAATAAAACGATAATTAAAAACGTAATAAAGCCTCACTGCCTAATGACTTACACACATACCTGTAGTATATATGCCCCTCCCATAAATATTTATACTACAGTCCTCACTGTATATCTCACCTTTAGTTTATTCATTTGTATACTGCTGTCTATACTTATAGCACTTTATAATTTGGCAACTCCTGTTCATAACTGCTCATACTGTACATATCTTAGTGTTTTCATATCTACACTATTTACACTATATATACTCTGACCATTACTCTGCAATGACAAAGTCTCAAATTAATTATAATGTAACTTTTTCATCCTGTTATTGTTTGTAAATGTGAAGATCCTTAACTACTGTTTATTTTTCTCATCGCAGGAAATATCCCTTTACCAAAGAGGGAGGAGAGGGCCGCCATGCTGAAACACTCAGAATTATGACGTGTATTACTAATTTGTTCTCACTTGGTGTGTAAAATAAAAACCTGGACGTGCATTTAGATTTGTTGTTTTTCAGTTTCATTTGACGGTTGCAGTATTGATAGATCCTGGTTTTGTTTCAGTATTATTTTATGTGAAGTGTGAGTGAGCAGTGTGTTGGCAACCTGTGCTATGAGAGGATTCAGTGCAATGTACATTGTTTTAATTTGGGATTTACATTATGATCTTGATAGTGTGTCCTATTTTCATTCTAGTGTTGTTTAACTTTGAAAAAATAACTTAAAAAAAATAAAACAATACTTAATTCTCACTTGGTTTTGTTTCCAAATAAAATGTGATATCATAAGATATGTGTCTTAAAATAGACTATGACGTGTTTGTCAGGTATCAGCA